CAGTGTGGAACTTGTATTGTTAAACAGGTTGAATTTTCCTTAGTTTTTCCATTTCATTCTACCTGTACATTGAATGCTAATATTTATGTCTTCTCTCTATTATAATTAAGGAGAATACTATATTACTTCTTTGAATTGTACAAGGAAAAGGAAAACAAAGTACAGATAGTCTTCGACTTACAACAGTTCATTAAGTGACCGTTCAAAGTTACAACAGCACTGAAAAAAGTGATTTATGTCCATTTTTTTACACTTATGACCGTTGCAGCATCCCCATGGTCACGTGATCAAAATTCAGATGCTTGGCAACTGACTTATATTTATGACAGTTGCAGTGTCTCGGGCTTATGTGATCCCCTATTGCGACCCTCTGACAAGCAAAGTCAATGGGGAAGCCAGATTCACTTAACAATTATGTTACTAACTTAACAACTGCAGTGATTCATTTAACAACCATGGCAAGAAAAGTGATAAAATAGGGCAAAATTCACTTAACAAATGTCTCACTTAGCAACAGAAATGTTGGACTCAATATGATTGTAAGTCAAGGACTACCTGTAATTAGCATTTAATTTTCTCGCCAACTCTGTATTGAAGGTGTTGGAATTGCTGTTTTTAGATTTACAGAAATGTATTAGTTATTGGGATAATATTTGAGGCACATTTATAAATATTGCTTTGGAGCATTCCAGTTGTCCAGCATTGCAGCTGTCAACATGATCAGAAAGCAAACATAACTCTTGTGATGTGTACTAGCATTGTGATTAGGCAATTGTGGTGCACTCTGCGGGGTTAGGATAAAACTGTGGAGCTATCTACCAGTCTTAAAATTCACACACCACTAATCAAACTAAATATAGACAAGAGGAAAGAGCAGAAGCTAAATCTCTTTTTTAAAAATCAGCCAGCATCAAATCTCAAATGCACTTTCATGTAGTTCAAAGTGCAGTTTTAGAATAATCACAATGTTTCCAGGGGCATCTCATCCCAGAACTATACACATATTATTGTGATCCCGTCAGTCTAAATGATCAGTATTGCAACATATAGCTTTTCAGTGAAAGCCTGCATTCTTTTTTAAAAAATAAATACATGAATATTTTGATAAAAAGCAAAAAATATTTAAGACAGATATTTCTCTTATCTAGCAGGGCTATATAGGTTATATAGGGGACAATACCAGAAAAGCACTAGGACGGAGTTTTCCTGGATGTTTATCAAAGATATACTCTGAACTTTCTTATATAAAACACACTAATTTTGTCCTTTTGTCATTAGAGCAGTGTTGGGATTCAAATATGTGAACAATTGGTTCTCTGTGTGGATGTCGCTTCTGGAAGTCCATTCTGGGCCTGGGCAATAAAAAATTAGCTACCGGTTCTGCTGAACTGGTGTGAACTGGCTGAATCCCACCACTGCATTAGAGGTTTGGTTCCATATCAAATATGAGTGGACTAGTTTTAGTAGACATTAAAATATAAAAATTCTGTCACAGCTAAAACTTCAGTGGAGTTGGTAAATTTTTTTTAATAATAATGTTTAATAAAAGTGTTAGTTGTAACAGGAAAATGCAAACTAAAAAAGACAAATGAAAAAGGTGCAAAAAAGAAAAGAAAAAAACCTCTAAGAAAGCAATTTCCCATCCTCATCACAAGTATAAACAATTTTATAATCTCTCCACCTTTTTTTAATTACCAAATATAAATCTCTTCATCCCATAACTCATCTCTTAACTGTAGGCAAATCTAATAAATAATATCTTCTCCAATCCAGGTGTCAGCAAAAAAGTCCAAACAGAACCTAAAATAAGATTAATTAACATATATGAAACTCAATATTCTACATCTCAATTTTTAGCTGTAAGCAGAACTACATTTAAAAGGCAAAAAGTGGTCCCCAAAACCTGATGTTTAACATGACAAAGAGGGACCATTTCCCCTTTATAAAACAAACAAACAAACAAACTCACAAATATCCTTTACTTCTGGAGTAACTTTAGGGAAAAAAGCTTAAACACCGTGTTAACTTAAGCAAACCCAATATAAAATCCATTCCATTCCAAATGCCAACAGTTCCGAAGAAAAACATCCAAAATAACAACATATCCCACTCCCATTAGATCAACAATCAAGAAGCAAGTAATACCCCAATTAAGGGACTGTCAAACAAGCTAAGAATAAACAACAGCCGGGTCAAGGAATCATCAAGACCACTTCTACCAATATTGACAGGGAAAGCAGTAGTAAAGTAAGGGCAGACCCCATTGCCTATTAACATCAATAATGTTACCTAGTTTGGTAATGAATCATTCCCCAGAAAACTACCAAGCTCAGATAGTACCAAGGAACCCACATATTCCATTCAAATAAACATTCCATATCTCAACTCTTAATGATAAAGAAATCCACATTTAGCAAAATATAAAGTAACCCGAGGTGGCGCAGCAGTTAGAGTGCAGTACTGCAGGCCACTTTAGCTGACTGTGTTCAGCAGGTCAGTGGTTCATATCTCACCGGCTCAAAGTTGACTCAGCCTTCCATCCTTCCGGGGTAGGTAAAATGAGGACCCAGATTGTTGGGGGCAATGTAATATATATATATACATTGCTTACTGGTGTACACCGCTTAGAGAGTGCTTGCACTTAAAGCGGTATATAAGTCTCATAAATAAATAAATAAATAAATAAACCCCAATTCTCCTTTAATGAGATGCTTGTTTGCTTCTTCCAAAGAAGGAGAAAATGTGCCACTTGAAGTTTGTTACAGACATTGTGTTTTCATAGTTGATCATTTAAAACATCAGAGAGAAGCTTCTAAATAATTTACAACCTGTCTTTTCCATTTCACTCAAGCAGCTATTTTCTGAAGAGGGGATGCCCTCTCACATGCCACTTGGATATGATTTACTCTTTATTAGTCTAGCGAAACGTGACAGGCTCACCCAATCTTTCAAAAAGTATTATTTCCAAGAGAGTTTTACTGTTTCTCTGCAAATAAGATAAAATAAACTATATTGACAGTAAGACTTACTCAAATATATTCTCAGAGACCGTATTGTAATTCATTGCCCTCCAGAGCATTTTGTTTTTGAAGACTAATAAAAAAACGGTTAAATAAAGGCATATCTGTTAACATGTCAAACATGAAGTTACTATGTGGTGATGAGCTCCTATTGTGGTTACATTGAATCAATGAGACTTGGACCAACCAAGGCCTATTCAAACATTTATTCCTTGTCCAATGTAGTATTTATGGCTTGTTCCAAATACTACAAACATATATTTTTGACATAAGGCCTGATTCAGAAATTAGTTTGCCACCAAGTGCTTTGATTCCACTCTCTCCCTACAGCTACAGAAATTGCTTTAAAATAATAATGCAAGAATGTTGAAATCATGATGATCCATATCAACTCATATCTATTAGGATATTAATTTATTGGTAGTTCTAATTCTGAGGATTAAAATTGCCTGAAAAATTAATTATAGTGTGCAGCATGAAAGCTAAATAACTAAAAGTTTTAAAGCAAACTAAATTACTAAAAGTTTTAAAGCAAAGTAGATGATAATAATCGGGAACGTTATTTCATCATTTTTATTGCCACAGGATATTAGCATTATGCTTAATACAAAAAAGGAAATCAATATAATGTTTCATAAAGAGATCTTCATACTAGCCTTTTAACAGGATATTACTTTTCTGATAAATTTTGTAGATACATTTCTTATTAAAATGATGAGTATAAAGTTGATAGCTTTTGATTAGTGAAAGATTTTGATTATCCTGAAACCAAAAGTATAATTATAGGTTGTAATTTCTAATGTCTAGTCAAATTTTGTGGAAATTAAATCTATTTAATTTTCCCTGGCTATTAAAACAATTATTCTTGTTTTCTTGTATTTATAATTTCAGTCTTTGCCAAGCTAGCCACCTCCAAATTTGTGGAACCATCTCTAGTCAAAATCTCTGAGATTATGAGATACATTGTTTGATACATTTGGAAACATTGGATTTTTTCTGTGAAACCAATATAGAAATATGTCTTCTGTGGCAGATTGGCCTCATGGGAATACAGTATGTCCTACTCTTTCAAGCATATTGTTCTGTGAATAAGAAAAAGATTAGATGTCAACTTCAAAGAGTATAGTATTATATTCTCTATACTCACTGAACTACAGGGCACTCAGTATTTCAATGTTTTGGAATTTTGAATCAATGTGTGTCAGTACAGTACAGTAGACTTTCTCTAAGCAACACATGAATGTCCTCATTTTAGACAATTATTTTTTAACCTAAAAATGCTAGAAATAGAAGTGTTAGAAAAATCTCTCAGTTGCAGCAGATTAAAAAAGAATGAACGAATGAACATGTTTATAGATTTGCTGAATATGCTGAAGACAATAATTCATATATTTCTTAATCCAAAGTACTCTATGGTCAAAAATTCATATACCTCTCTTAATGCAGAGTACTCTATGGTCAAATGTTTATTAATTTAAAAAGATCTCTGCACTGTAGTATTCTGCATTATTAGTATATTTGACATATTTGGAAGTTCTGTTCAATTTTTTTTTCTTCTATTCAGTCATGTCTGATTCCTAGAGACTACCTGGACAAGTCCCTGCATTTTTCTTGGCAAGGTTTTTCAGAAGTGGTTTGCCATTGCGTCCTTCCTAGAGCTGAAAGAAAGTGACTGGCACAAGATCACCCAGCTGGCTTTGTGCTTAAGATGGGACTAGAACTCAGTCTCCTGGTTCCTACCTTTATGTCTTAACCACTACAACAAACCAGCTCTCTTGTTCAAACTATCTCATTGCATCATGTATTGAAATGTATTTTTAAAAATTATATAAATGAATGTTATTTTCTGATGATATTCTGGTTACTCATTGAAAATAGTTAGCAGAAATCAGTACTGCTTCCTGCTGATCCTAAAATAAATTATTGGTTATTTTATATTTTTAGAAAATATGTATATATATATATATATATATTTTTCAGGTTTGGGATGCTGTGGATGAAGGACGTTGTTTGAAATCATACTTTAACCATACCGGTGCTGTCCGAGCTATTCAGTGGTCTCCCTGTGGAAGAAATGCACTGAGTGGAGGGTTTGATTTTATGCTTCATTTAACAGATATTGAAACAGGTACTAAGTAGTCAACACTACAATGTGGCTAATATATAAAAAAATACCTTTATAGTATTTGGGGGTTGGAAACACAATGCCATCTTCTTACTAACTGGAATATTCTGCTAATTAAAAAAATTACAATTAGGTATTTTGAGAAGTTGTCTTCTCTAGGCTAAATTATTGTTAAAATCTTTGATTTCCATGGGCAGGGACTTTTTGATGTGAAACTGTTTTATACATTGTAGCTGCAACATGTTTAAGAAGTTCTGATTCTGGTTTAAAGGTAAGAAGTTACAATGTTGAGTCCTACAGTCAGCTCTTCCTTTCCCTGGGAAAACCACAAAACTGTTGGCTGCTCTGCATAATGATGTAGCAGTGTTTTTCAACCTTGGCAACCTTAAGATGGGTGTACTTCCTCTACCTCACATCTTAATATTGTCAAGGTTGAAAAACGCCATGGTAGAGGCTTGTAGAGGTGATTAGAGAAACAAAGGAACTCCAGAGTTAAGTTAGTTATACAAAGGAACAAGAAGTGCAGCAATACACAAGTGAGACTGAATGTGGATAGGGAATAAAACACCAAAGTAACAAAGAGGAAAAATGTAACAATATTTGAAATACAAAGAATGAAGAATAAATTAAATATAGGTAGGCCTTGACTTACATCCAAAGATGAAATGAGAGAAGCAGAGAAATCAAGATGTACAATATATCAGTGGCAAGAAAGCCATGATAAAGTACTATGCAGTGATTGCAAGGCAGGGAAGATAGAAGAAGATTGGAGGATTTGGGGCCTGTAAGGCAGAATATAGCTCACACCAGATACCCCATTGGGCTGTTCCACTTCAACCATATTGTGGTTAAGCAAGATATTAATACACAGACATTATCTCTTTCATAATTTTCATTCTGTGTAAAACTCTTGAAGAACCTGAGAAAGAACCTTTGGCCCAGATGTTGAGCGCAAGCAAGAAAATTAGATTTTGTGCTTCTTGTAACAAGTTCTCCTTTTAAATTCCACAAAGTGTTGTTCTTGAAGAGTTAGCTTTCAAAAGCATGTTAATTTTTTTTTCTTAGTGTTTGACCAACCTTTACAAAAATGTGCTGATACATGTTGGAGGATTCTTCAATATTTAATTACTACACCTGTGTGTATGTTTATGTGTGAGCATGAATACACACAACATAAATTAGTTTACTCTGAGAATCCCCATTCTCCTTTTCTTCTTTATCATTAATGTGCATCTCTCACAAAGATGTCACTAATACTTTCAGCAAAAACCAACTTGGTACCAGAAATCAAACTGAGTGCATTCTCACTTGAAAAATATGAAGCCAGCTGTTCAGATTAGAACTTAATTACAGTTCATTCACCTGTCTTCATTACTCTCCATCAGCACAGAGCTTATTTCATTACTGATTAATTTCATTTAGATATATTCTAGTCCAAGTTTGTGAATTCTTTTTTTTTTAGAAAACTTTTTCATACAGGTTAAGAGACACTTTTGGAAAACAGGCTTGGAAGAAATCTGGCCTGATTTCCTTGTTGCAATTATTTAGGTAAATTGGGGTAAATTACAAGTTTGTAAACTATCACTCCCCCCCTCTGCTTTTTAAGGGCAGTTTTCTCTAACTTGGCACTATATAGAAATGCAGGTTGGTAATTTTGAAAGTGCAACACCTCTGGAGATACCTGGTTGGAAAGGCTGACTTATGACCCTGTGTTATATGGAAGGTATAGCAGCACAATTTTTCTACGCTTTGGGGTATTTATGAAGTTCCCAGTCAAGTAGTGAGAATCTTTGTTCCTTTAATTACTTAAGTGTAATTACTTAATTTTCAAGGGGCTATAATCAATCTCTGTTACTTCTTAGATCTTTTAATATCTTCCCAGTAGTTTGGAAATGAGTACCTGCCATGCTTAAAACTGAAATGTGATTCTCAGTGATCCAGCAGAGATAATTGAGTCCCAGGAAGAGCAAATTAGCATCTGATGGGATACAGATAGATGATGTCTAAGGAGAGGTTGATGTTTAAGGTAGCAATATTGACTCATCAGGTTGTTTACCACAAGGCATTTTGGAAGATATTTTAATAAGTGTTTTTGAGGACAGGTCCTCATGATGTTGATTTCATCTCATTCTCAACCCACTGCTGAAGCTGTGATATTTTTTTCCTCCTTGTGGACAATATAGGATACCAGTTTGCTCATTTCCTATTTCCCTGGCAAGTCTGCTGCAGAAGTGCTTGCCTTCTCCTCCTGTGTATTGCAACTCCATAGCCAGTTTGGCTTTTGCTGCAAGAAAGACTGGATACTGCTCTTTTTCTGTTTATCCTGGTCTGTCACACTCTTGGTTGATCAGGAGATCTATCACCCAGGAATTGGTTTGTGTGGTTGTTACTTGAATGCTGTGGAGTACACATACACCAATGTAGAATGGAAGTAGGAGAAGGAAGAGCTTTTTGTGTGACCAAAAAAACAATTCTCAGAGGAAATTAGCTTCAGGAGGATAAAAGGAAAATAAGATCTAACAGTGCTGAAAGCCCTCTGACTCAGATTTGTCTACTTTGAATTTCAACCCCAACTGCTGTATCCTATATTCAGGAGAACAATTGATTGCTGGTATTCCAATCAGTAGATGATACCGGGCAGAAGACAAAAGATTGGTGGGGGGATCTTCCAACTGTTCTGAAACTACCCCTTCTCCAGCAGGATGGCTGTAGAGTCCACTGGATGGGTTCTATGTCAGCCTTCCCGCCCGACAGACTAGGTCAAAACTTTGGCCACACCCTTCCTTTGGGCGTGACTCCAGTTTTGACTTAGTCTCGAAGCCCGTTAGCAGCAAAGACTGACTTAATTCCAGATTTAGAGATAAAATCCTCCTCTCTCTCTGCTAAATTTACCAATTGACTAAAAGGACTCACAAGAGTCGATCTCAGCTTCTGGCTCGGAGTTCCGAGCATCCGGCAGATCTCCGTTTCCTGAGGGCGTCTTTCCGAGGAGTGGTGAGAGTATCAAAAAAAAAAAAAAAAGCCTGAGTTGCGAGAAGCAGTGGAAGCATTTGGGAGCACTCGCTGCCCCCTTGTTTTTCCCTGATCAGCTGGGGCGCGTGAGGCTCCGAGCCCCCAAAGTCTGTTAGAGCCGCGGCGCTACCGACGGCTATACAGGGAGGCGAAAAATCGCCAGTTAACGGGAGACGCTCCCCTCGGTCTACGGCCATCCACTTTTAGCCCCAGGTACGCCAGAATCGCTTGGGAAAGCCGCGGCGTTCCCAGAGGGCACAACACGAAGATCCGTGCCTTTTTAGGGCACTCCACAATTTACCTCAGCTGGCAGAGCGACCGTTGGGGCGAAAATCGCCATTTTGAACCTCGTAGTTCTTCTTTGACAGTTTAGTTGGAAGGCGTGGCCTTCGGGCTAGACTCCATTTTGGGTGCACTACTTGTAGCCTCCATTTTAGGTGGGTCACTCACTCGGAGGTATTACCAACAGCTTATACAGTTTACAATAAAAAAAAATAGAAGAGATAGAGAGAGGGGTAGTAAAGAAGAGTGAAAGTTAGCTTATGCTTACACCCTGTGGTCTGTTTTAACAGCCACATATTGGGGAATAAATATTTACTACGCCAACAAGCGATACTTCTAATAATCCTGGGCCATCGCAATTGCCCTTGGTGAAGGAGAGGGAGGAAAATTTTGAATTGTTCCACTGTTCCTTAGGGTGACCTTTAGTCACTGCCCCACAGGATCCCTCCTTCCAAAGGGACCTGTCTGTCCGGCCATTGTTTTTTTCTGTGCAGAATAAGCCTTGCAGGCTTCAATTATCTGCAACCGATCTGCGTACAGTTTTGTTCCCCACTCCAGGTATTGCCTACTCGGGGTACCTGGCCACAATGGCAGACAATGTCTCGCATTCAGCTATGCAGGGTCCCCAACTGCCCCCCCACAACAACAAAAACGCAGATCCTCAGAATCTGAGGTGGGGGGGAAGAAGAAAGCTAAAACAAAGCACCTTACCCAAAGGGGACCATCCAAAACAGCTGAGCGAGAGGCCTCGAGGAGACATTTGGCTCTAGAAAGACAATTTGCCAGGGCCCAGAGAACCAGTTCCAATGGGGCGAACATGGTTTCCCCTGTCCCATTGGTGGCCCCCACTCCGGAACCTACTTCCCAGGAAGTTCTTAGAACTTGGTCTCCTCTGGGGGAAACCGAACAGATGGACTCCTCCCACTCCTCTTCACCAGCATCCTCACCAGACCATACTCCCACTGTAGCTTCCCCTATGGACAGAACTCAGGAGGACATATGGTCTGCCCAATTTCAGGCATTCATGCAGGATGCCTTTTCCCAGTTTATGGCTTCTAAAGGTCAAGTAGCCTTTCAACCATCCCTTAAGGGACGAAGCAAGGCTCCGGCTACAAATATTTCTAAGACCTCCTCTCAAATAGGAGAGGGAGAATCATTAGACCTGGACATGACTGATATGCCCCTTTCGGAGGATGAGGGGACCGCTCCTGGGCAGACAACAGGCTCTGGCCTCTTTGATCCAGCTCTTCTCAAATCACTTTTAATAAAGGCAGTCTCTACGGTCAATCTGACCTCAGTGCAGGAGGAAAATCCTTCCACAAGTAAGGAGGCAAACCCCCTTTTTGCCAAAAAAGTAGCACAGGACAAGTACATTCCTTGTCCAGAGGTTTTCCGCACCTCTGTAGAGGAGCAATGGTTTTCCCTAGCAATGCCACCTACACCGAACAGTGTGGAAAGGAAGCTTTTCAATGTGTCTTCTTCCTTTTCTGACATGCTAGACGTCCCCACTGTAGACAGTCTCCTGATTTCACTATTCTCCACTTCTGCGATTCCAGGAGACATGGCGGAAGCCTTGAAACCAGAGGAAAAGAAATTTGAGCACTCCCTCTGTCATTCCCACATGGCCGCAGCCTGGGCGGCCAAGGCGGCAACTTCCTCGTCATTCTTCGCCAGGGCCTGTATTACGTGGCTTCGTGAGCTGCAAACCA